GATTGGGGCTCCGCGATTGCAGGGGGACGGGGAGACGGCAGAAGCCGCGCGCAGCTGTGAACTCAAGATAGGCGAGACAGCAAATTAAATTCACAGAATAACTGCCCCAAGGAATTGCAAAATTACATAGCGTTAGAACACGTTAATTAAGGCGATACAAAGCACTTGGTGTAGGCAAGAGCTGTCATGTTTGGCAGCTGGGTTACCCTGGGACAACAACAAAAAATGTTAAACATAGTAGTCTTTGTTTATGTTGACTGTTACATTAAGCATGACTTGTTAATCAATTAGCATAATGTGTTTTTCCAGTGTAGGCAAGCCCTCGGAAAGCTTGGGTTGCACTCCAGATACAGACTCATAATGAAGTTAAAAGGCCAGTGTTTACATTTTTTAACATCCCTGGAGATGTAATTAAAGGGATAGAAGCTCTTCCCTTTCCACAGTGTTGCTCTCAGTTTCTTTGGTTTCTCTTCCCTTATTTCTGAATTCCCTATCGTCACAAAATGGTGGAAACAATGGAGTTGCTTATTTCCTCCAAATCGCGTTGCTGTTGGTAGGAGAGGGGCAGATCTGAACGCTACCCCTCTTCCCAACCTGGCAACCAGCGCCCTTTTGTTCCAGGCCTGACAAGTACTTAGGCATATGAATGGTTACAAATGAAATAAATTACGTCTGTGTACTTACATACCTGCTGACCGAGAGCCCGGGTATTTCATCCTGCACTCGCTGAGGTCAACGACGAATTTTCTGGTGATTGCAGTGGTGCAGGTTTGTGGTCTCAGATGCTTTATCCAAACTCTTTCGAATCAATTAGCCTTTCTATTGATTGTAATGGTTGTTAGATCAGGCCCTCAGACAGCAAAAGAAATACAGTCACTTAGGGGCTTGCTGGACACAAAAGCTGACTCAGGGACCGGCCTTCCCTTGGGGAATTTGACTTTTGTATTTGTATTACAGAAAAAAAAAAATCTGGAGAGATCTCTGGAGCGAGGGAACTGTTCGTGTTTCCAGTAATACGTGCCCTTGCATAACTCCAAATTATTGGTGGGAGTTAGCAGAGAGCCTGTTGTATTTTCTGTGTGCTCAGTGGCAGCTGGCTGGCACAGCCATTGCTGCGCCTGCAAAAATTTCCCTGCGTGTCCAGAGTGCTCTGTGTGTCATAGGAATCGTAAACGATTGGGCAGCGGTCCCCCGTTGTTTGAACTGTATTGATTTTTCAAGATCCTACGCATTAATGCAAGGCATGACCTATTGTCTGGGTTCCCACTACGATGAAATACTACAGCAGTATTTAGCAGGCACAATGTACGTCTAGCCACGGTGTACAGAAACACTGATCTTCCTACCACAAGACCTGCGAGTTACAATGGGCGCATTGAGCGTAGAACAAAGCGCCGCCATGTGTTGCGCCTCTTGGAGAGACCCTACTCCGCAGCCGCGCCTGTTTAAACGGTAGGTGAGAACGCAGAGCTACCTCCGTATTAGAAACGCTTGAGTAGCAGGAGGGAGAACGAGGCCAAACAGAGCTTGCACAGACTAAAAAATACAAACTCCCTCTAAACTTCGGAGGTTTATCCTCCAGACAAAGATAAATAAAAAACTCTTTCCAAAAAACGCGTAACAAACCACTTGATACCACTCTGAGTGATTTGCACGAACAAATCCATCGTTCCCGTGCAGCATGAACCTGGCGTATCCGTACGGGAACCTCTACACCGTTTGCATTTCTTGAAATGTGTGTCATTGGTTTAAGTCAGTGCAGCACGGCTACCAAATCCAAAGTTTCTGTTTAATGCTCAGTTAAAAACTGATGCCCTGAACCTAATCGTGCTTAAGACCGAGTCTAATGCCTTTTGCTCCATGGACGATGGCTTCCATCTGGCTGTGGCAGAAAGTTCTGTGCTGTATGGGAAGAGATTCTGCGTGGTTCTGCAAGATCACCGCTGTCAGATAGGCCTTGGTCTGTC